AACTTGTGAAAACTCAGAGTACCTATTCTCCCCAAATGTCAGCCATTTTTATCCTGCTTTGGTTGCTGCTAATAATAGCAGTGCCTTTATACTTCACATTAAATGTGCTGGTACACCTGCCGAACCTTACTGTCAGTTTGTTTTGTGAATGGCTCCGTGATCCACACCTTTATTTCTTCGCGGTGGTATGGAAGCCCAGGAAAGTCAAGACTCTAGCCTTGTTCTTCTCAACAGGGTGGCTGAGGCCAGGTGCAATCCCAGGTGACTTACTAGGACTCTGTGGTACAGGCTTTGATTGAGTGTCTGCAGATGGTAGAAGGAGAGGCTTGGGTTCCCTGCTCAGAATTCTAGGAGCCACAGGAGGACCTGTGATGCTCCAGAGCAGGCTGGAGGTCTCTTGTGTTCTGTGTGCTCGACTGTCTCGGTCAGTTGGCTGGTGTTGTGTGTATTTCAGCCCTCTTGGTTTACAGCAGGTTCCCCACCCCTTAAAAACAAAATATGACAGACAAGTCCAAGCTGGAAGGGCAGAGAGAGGGTTTATTGAGCTGGCGGGTTTCAGGGTAGGGCTAAGTTTGGGCACAGGATTTGAAAAGGTGCTGATGCTTCCCCCTTCATCTCCCTAGACCGGGTTATTTCTCAAGAGATTAGCAATCTGTCTGTGCAGCAGGAGCTGCAAACCAAATGACTTTACCTCTTCCCGGTTCCTGAGAAATCACTAGACTTTTCCCCTTTCCCAGCTAGGTCTCCTTGTGACTTGCAATGGACTTGTGTTTTTCCCTGAACCAAAGGGTGTGGGTTGTTAATATACTGATGTTTTCCCCTTCAGTCTGGAACTGAGGGAGAGCTCCACCCTAAGCATGGACCCCCCAGAAATGAACTGGAGAGAAAGTTACTATGGGGGGGGTGGAGGGGAAGGAAAGTAGCCCCCCCCCTATAACCAGAGGGTAAACTTTAAACTACTTTTGCTAGTGGATCGAAGAGCACAGTATCTTTGGCCTCTTTCAAATTCCTTGCTCTGTATCTCTCTCTCTCTCTCTCCTCTCTCTCTGTTTTCCTCTTCTCTTTTCATGTTACACATGCTGAGATTCAGATTTGTAAAGATGGTGGTGCCAGGTGTTGGTGAGTCTGTGGAGCTGGTTGGTGGGAGCGTACATCACCACCGTTGCTTTGGAAACAACTTGGACCTTTCTAGTAAAATCGAGGGTCTGTCCGTGTGCCTGTGTGTGCCTGTGTGTGTGCACGTAGGGTCACAGGGATGGTGTTTCTGGCCACCAGAAGTACAAACAGAGCTGCAGTGAAAATGAGCAAAATCAGCTCAGTAACAAGAGTGAACCCCACTGCCCTGTTGGTAAAAACTGAATGGGCTGTCTGGACTTGTGATTCCATTCTTTGAAACGGAAAACCAGGCAGTGCGGTGGTGGGGGGTAGAAGGGGAGAGACAGGAGTGATTATCACCGTTATAGTAAGTTAATTCCTCTGCAGCCATTTCCTCGCCCAGTTCCCGAACCTTCCCGGAATGAACCTTGTCTTCTGTGAGCTGACGACAGAGACGTTGCCAGAGGGGGAGGTGTTCAGCTGAGAACTCCGCAGGAAAAGGAGTCAAAAGTGAAAAGGCAGGAAGAATCAGTATGAGGGCGGGGTGGGAGCGTGGTTTCACTTCTGATGGAGATGGAGTTACAGGTGGGAGTGGCGGAAAGTTGAGCTGGGAGACAGGAGTAGGCCTGGGTCCACAGGACGCTCTCAGAGGAAAAGGAAGGGAAAGATTTTTGAAGATTTTTGACTTTATCCCTGGGGTACCAGAAAGCATTTGGGGGCGTTTCACCAGTGAAGCACATTGGCACTTCACGCTAAGCTGAGTGTGTTGGAGAGGCAAAAAGGAAGACGACCATCGTAATTGGAGTAGCGCCAGCCGAGGTGAGAGGTGATATGTGTGTGTGTGTGTGTGTGTGTGTGTGTGTGTGTATAGTCCCTGATGTTGAATCTGCTTGCTGCAGCCACTAGAGAGATCCTTCTAGATGGCAAGGAATGCCTCTTTTGTTCCCTGTGTAGCCTCAGTTCTTGAAGCATTGTAGACGCTCAGTACATCATACTTAAACCCTCAGTGGTTTCCCGAGAATGCTGGGATGAAAATCAGAACTCTTTATCTGACTGAGCTGGGACTGAGAGAACAGCAGTTATACAAGTCCAGCCGGGGAGAGAGAGACTTCCAGGAGTCGTTTCTGTTACTGTCCTGAGACGGGGTCTTGCCGTGTAACCCAGGTTAACCTTGTATGTGTGCCCATCATCCTGCTTAAGCCTTCCAGTGCTGGGCTGACGGGTGTGTGCCACCACGCTCAGCTAGATTCCAGAATTCTTTTTTTTTAATATTTATTTATTTATTATGTATATAATATTCTGTCTGTGTGTATGTCTGCAGGCCAGAAGAGGGCACCAGACCTCATTCCAGATGGTTGTAAGCCACCATGTGGTTGCTGGGAATTGAACTCAGGACTTTTGGAAGAGCAGGCAATGCTCTTAACCACTGAGCCATCTCTCCAGCCCGATTCCAGAATTCCTAAGTGTGGCCAGCTCTTTCAGAATCTGTTTCCGACTTCTCTGACCTCCTCTGCTCAGCCCCTGTATCCCACCCTATTTATAGCTCAGATCAGCACCCCACCACCCTTTCTTTCCCTCTGGTCTGTCCAGCCTCTCCCCTCACATGACTCCCCAGGATGTTCACTTTGCAGTGAGAGGTGGAAGGACCTCTAGGCTGAGAAGGGCCTCCTCTCATTATCTCTGCCATTTGGCAAACCAAGCCAAGGCTCTAACCTACCTTTTCTGCTTGTAATTAATAGTTGGGCAAGAATCCCCATCTCTGACAGACATTTGGATCCACTTGGGAGTTTTTGTGTTTTTTTTTTTTTTTTTTTTTTGTCAATTTGTTGTTTTTTTTTTTAATTTTATTTATTTATTTATTTATTTATTTATTTATTTATTTATTTATTTATTTATTTATTTATTTATTTATTTATTTATTTATTTTTATTTTCGAGACAGGGTATCTCTGTAGCTTTTTGGTTCCTGTCCTGGAACTAGCTCTTGTAGACCAGGCTGGCCTCGAACTCACAGAGATCCGCCTGCCTCTGCCTCCCGAGTGCTGGGATTAAAGGCGTGCACCACCACCGCCCAATTTGTTGTTTTTTTAACCAAACATTTTTAACCAAAACCAGCGATCCAGTTGATGGGTAATTCCTGGTACAGAGCACAGATGTCTTCTGGGAATGTCATAGGCAAGAGATAGGAGACAAATTTCCAATCACAAACCCAGAAAACTTGCTATTTTTTTCCTAAAGCAGGGCCACACACAGGAGGTCAGTTGTAGAACTGGGTATTTTAAACCTTTGTCTTGTTGACCTCTCAGCTGGCAGCTGCATCTGAGCCCTGTGCGAGTTTCCGCTGTAGTGAACCTGGTCAGCTCCTTGCCCTGGTGGCGTAAGTGGCTTGGACTGTGGTCCCCAGGATTCCCAGGGCAGCCTGGTATCCAGCCCCGAGCTGTGACTAGGGCTATAATATTGGGCAACGTCACATTTGGTAGCTGGGGGTGGGGGTGGGGTAGCCATTTTTCCGGTTCACATAGCCAGATCAATTGCTTTTTGCCCTGAAGTCTAACCTCTCCGGGTTTGTTCGAGATAGCTAGCTGATATTTACCTCTGGAAGAATTTACTTAATTTAGATTGAGAAATAGGCCTTAACTGTAAGCTGTGAACGTGTAAGTGGGGTCTCACATTGTATGGAGCCCTTAGCTAAGTATTCTGGGATGACAGGAAAAAGGGACTCCTGTTGGGAGACCCAGGGACATGTTTGAGGAACTGCTGGGGTAATTGAAAGAATACCTGAGTGTCAGACCTCTACTTGCCTCTCTGGGTACTGTAGTCCGCACCCGGGGATTCATTGTCTTCTAGGAGCTCTCTCTGGCTCATAGGAGTTTGAGGAAGCAGGAAGTAAGGTGCTAGGTGTGGGGCAGAAGAAACCACAGGTGGGGGAGGGGGATTTAGCACCTAATGCAAAAATTGTGGCTGTGAAGAATTGTGGGGCCGGAGCTTGGATACATTCCCTTCCAAACTGGGCCAGGGCAGGGGTGGGAGCAAGAGCCAAAGCCTCTGCCTGGGAGGTGTGGACCTTCACAGTAACACTTCTTCAGAGTGTGTGCAACTCAGTGATTCTCACAGCCGAGAATCGTGCCCAGGATCCACACTGCGTTGCCAGAAATGACAGTGTGTCGTCCCGTGTGTCCCGTCCCCTCTCCCCCCCCCCTGTGTAGCAGGTTCTATATTTATGAGAGCCTCAACTTTGTAAAGGGCCAGAAGGAGACTCAGCGGTGGACGGTATGTCGGGATACTGCAGGCCTTTTTTGTGGCATCTCCTTGCTTCTGTGGAACTGTAGCTGATTTCTGACTCACTGGAGGGGCTGGAGATCCGGTGCTCCAGGAGCAGGGGTGCATATGGCTCTAGGCAGAAGGTAATAGGCCATATCTTCCTGTGGATTCAGAACTCTCCTTTGAGCAGGGAGTGGTGGCGAACTTTCCTAATTTGCTTTTCTGCTGCTGTGGTAAAACAGTCTAACCACAGCAACTTGAGGAAAGAATTTATTTCAGCTTGAATTTCCAGGTCATGCTCCATCATCGAGGGAAGTCGGTGCAGGAATGCAAGAATTTAAAGGAACAGTACCTATTAGCTCACTCACTTATGCTCAGCCTCAGACTGTGCCTAGGAAAACATTGTCCACAGTGTGCTGGGCCCTCCTCTATCAGTAAACAATTAAAGCTGTGCCTCACAGACGTGCCCACGCGTCTCATTTAGGCAGTTCTCCAACTGAGGCTCCGTCTTGCAGGTGACACTAGGTTGTGTCAGATGGCCAATAAAAAACAAGATGTGCACGGTTCACTTAAGGTGATTTTCGTGACTCTAGCTTTCTATGGTTTCTTTCTGTCTGGAGCCAGGCATGGAGGGGTGGATAATGTTTGCATCTTATTGCGGAGGTGATCAGAGAGAACACGGTCGAGGTGTATATGATAAAATGGGGGAACGTAGTTACCTGGGAAAGATATTTTTAGAATCGCAGCAGAGGCCCACGGCTGTGATCCCAGTTCTCAGGAGGCAAAGGCAGGAGGAGAGAGCGCATTCGAAGCCAGCCTGAGCTACTCAGTGTCGAGATTCTGCCTCGTCAAGCGAGCACAAGATTTTGTGAAGGGTGGTTTGAATTTGAGCTGACAGAATAAAATATGGGAATGGGTGTGGTCTTCCTCGGACCTTCCTCCCTTCTTCCCCTCGCCCCCAGCGTTTTTTCCCCTTAATTATGCAAGCTTGAGCTCAGTCACTGAAAAGCAAAAAGTGCTGTCTTAGCAGGAGTGCTCGAGCCAGCCTGTAGGGAAGTCCAGCGTGCATTCAGCCAGATCTGAAGAATGCACGCGGCCTTCTGCATAGCTGAGCTCATCTGGCTGTCGATCAGAGGAGCTGCTCTCAGGCCCCGGTTCACGGTGTGCTGGGGTAAGGAAGCGGCGTGGATCGGGCCTAAGTTTTGGCACCGGGATTGCCTCCTAGCTCTGAGCCCTTTGGCATAGTGGTTAGCAGGGCCAAGCCTGTGTGTGTGAAATAGCACATTTAAATGGCAGATTCCATTGCCCCAGAATTGTTGGTCACCTAGTTATGGGATTCTAGAACCTGAACTTTGAGCCTGGATTATTCACGTTTTTGAGTTTATACCTTGCATTTTACATAGAACACAAAGAGGAGTCTTTTGTAGTCAGTCAGGTTATGGTGACCTAGAAACAAGACTCTGAACAGTTAACATGGATTTTGGTTGTTCTGACCCAAGCATTAGTTCAGTAGAGCATTGGTTAGGTTTTCAGTACTCTGGTTTCAACAATTCTGGTGGTCAAAAAAAAAAAAAAAAAAAAAAATTTCTGGTGGTCACAGACCTTCTTAATGCAACAGAAAGCCATAACCTTTGTCTCCCCCCCCCAATTTTTTGTATAGTTTTATGAAACCATTTCAATGTGAATTGTAGTTACAAAACTCTAAATATTGTAGCATCTATTGCTGGAAAGCAGAGGTTTTCATAAACTGTACTGTGAAACTATTGCTAAGTGCCATTGAGATTATTTCCATTTAAATCTTTCTTGATAGTCCCTGAAGTGTTGTTATAACTACGTTTTGAAGCCAGAATCCAGGATAGATTTATCTTTTGTGCTTGCTTGCTGTTACTGTGATCTTTTTTAGTTTTTATTGCTCTCTCTCTCTCTCTCTGTCTCTCTGTATATGCACGGCTTGCAGGAACGGGCTCCTCCCTTTTATCTTGGGGATCCTAGTTGTCAGTCTTGGCAGCAGATGCCTTTACCTCCACGCCATCTCGCTATCTCTACCCTGGTCTTTTTAAAAAGACCAGTTGATCTGTGACTGCCCCAGTTCTGGATTTGTCTGGTTGTTTCCCCATGGTGTGGTTTAACTTGGTGCTAGTAGCAACTTCTCTGTGATAAAATTGCCTATTTTTCCATAAACTGGAAGTTAAATCTGAAGGCTTGATTACGGTCACTGAAGTCAAATATATTTTTGGCAAGAAAGCTTCGTGGATGATAGTGTTTGTTTTCACTTAACTTTATTTCCTGTGTGTGTGTGTGTGTGTGTGTGTTATTTTGCCTGTAATTTTGTCGGCACACCATATGTCTGGAGAGGCAGGTTGTCACATTCCCTGGAATTGGAGCCACACACAGTTGTGAGCTGCCATATGGGTGCTAGGAATATCGAACCTGAGACCTCCAGAAGAGCAGCAAGGCTTTTAACAACTGAGGCGCCTCTCCAGCCCCAGGTGATGGTGCTTAACATGTAAAGTTCCTCACCAGCCTGTGCTGGATTGTTCCTGTTTAGTGATGACCGGCTTGGTTGCTTGGTTAAGGTAACCAAGCACTGGGTCTCTCCGAAAGTGAGGCAATAGGAAATAATTCACTGTGGCATTGTAGGGACTGCCCCAAACCGGCCTTGACGTCTAGTGATGTTTGGGTTGTTATAGTGGCAGCTGCTGAGTTCTTATTGTCTCCCCACTCCCTTGAAGCCCCAAGGGGGCCTCACTGATTCTAAACAATACTGATCAGGTGCTGTCTTGGCTACGTCTGAGTATCTGATTCTGTTAACCCTTCTGCAGCGATTACCCAGTGATCTGTAAGCCCTGCGGTGTTAACTATAATGGACAGCATAGTTTTCATTCAGCTTAAAAGATCTAAAGACCCACTGGGCCCAGCGTGAACTGGCTTAATGTGGGCTCTCGTGGTGAGGGCGCCATATTTTATGTGAAAAAGAGGACTCGTAGCTGAGCTCTTCCTAGGAAATTGTAAATTCTGTCCTTAGAGCTACCCCCTTCTCTCCAGCAAACAAACAAAAATAACAGAAAGCTGGCCTGGCTTTTAAACTTCCAGGCTATTCTATAAGTGGCTAGAAAAGGCGTCTGGGAGCCCCACAGTTCCATTTCCTTCCCTATTGTCAAGCCCGCTGCAGTGTGTTAAACTGAGAACACTGGTTGGCCCTCAAAAGCAAACCAAGGGATTAGCTCAGACACCGTTAACTCCGTTAACATTTCTGCTAACATTCTGGGGACTTGATCCATCTTAATTTGCCAGTTGAATTTCATTTCAAGTTGGTATGTACTTTTAAAAAATTTTTTAAAGAGCCACACAGGTCTAAACCAGGGTGTTTTGGTTCATATTCTCTGCAGTATAATCCTCATGTTTGTATAGTTCTGTCCCCTGCGGAGCACGCTTATGTGTCTTCACACCAGATCCCTAGGGAATCAACATTGCATTGTCTCCGTGGGCCAAGTGGGCTGTAGTCATTATGTCTATGTATGTCTGTGTGTTTACCGTCTCTGAGCTCTGTAAAGTCTGCTGAGCTCTGTTGAGGGCTCTCACTGTACCCATTAGTGTTAGTGTCGCTGTCCCAGCACTGTAAAACCTTCCCTGTGTCCATAGCAGAGCCAGCTTCCCTACCCAGCATGGGCATTGTGTATCATAAGTGAGGCAGGACCCTGCATTCCTGGTGCCACTTCCAGTTCCAGCTCCTAGAATTCATCCAGAGGACCGAGGAGCCAGGCGTCTGGGTTCTCTCCCTGATTTCCTTCTAGGAACCAGGCCTATGCTTAGTGTTCCCAGCAGAATTCTTCTGTATCGCCTGCTTAGAATCCCCGGTAGGCCTCTCTCTTTCTTTCCAGTTTATGGATAAACTGAGGTTCAAAATACTCAAATGACCTCGGTTGTCACAGGGGTAGGAAGAAGGCTGGAGCTGTGAAGGCTGAGCTTCTGTGTCCCTAGAAAGGCCTTGCCTGCACAGCCCAGAATGGCCACAGAAGATTCCTCCGTTCCTGGCTCCCTTGTGATCTCAGCTTGGACAATCCTGGGCAGGGTTGCAGCTCTTTCTCCTTTTGCTGAGATCTGATCTTGATTTCAGGTCTGGTCTCTGAGGAAGACAAACCCTGCCAGGGAACAGAGACCGCCCCGCCCCCAAGCTAAGAGCACAATGGCAGCCTCTGCCCCCTTGAGGAGCCTGGAGGAGGAGGTGACCTGCTCCATCTGCCTGGATTATCTGCGGGACCCGGTGACCATCGACTGTGGCCATGTCTTCTGCCGCAGCTGCACAGGTGATATCCGCCCCATATCCGGGAGCCGCCCAGTTTGTCCGCTCTGCAAGAAGCCCTTCAAGAAGGAGAACATCCGGCCCGTGTGGCAGCTCGCCAGTCTGGTGGAGAACATTGAGCGGCTGAAGGTGGACTCCGGCAGGCAGCCGGGAGAGCTGGCCCGAGAGCCGCAGGAAGTGAAGCTGTGTGAACGGCACCAGGAAAAGCTGCACTACTACTGTGAGGACGACGGCAAGCTGCTGTGTGTGATGTGCCGCGAGTCCCGCGAGCACCGACCCCACACGGCCGTCCTGGTGGAGAAGGCCGCCCTGCCTCACAGGGTGAGTCCCCGGGCCTGTCTGGTGTCGCCGCCGGCCACAGCTCAGGACACTCATCTCTCCACTGCTTGTCTTTCCCCAGGAGAAAATCCTGAACCACCTGAACACCCTCAGGAGAGACAGAGAAAAAATCCAGGGCTTTCAGGCCAAGGGAGAAGCTGATATTCTGGCTGCGCTGGTACGTGGAAGTCGTGGCTGAGAGGCGATGCGTGTTCCAGGGAGGGACCAGGAAGGTGGGAAGTGTTTCTAGGAGTGCTTTGGAAGTATGGGTGCTAGGCTGGCTTCAGGCCAGCTGGAGCTAGCACAAATATGGGGAAGGTTGGCCTGCCCTGTCCCTGCAGGAGCTGAGGAACCTGACTTTGTGCTCTAAGGGTGAAGATGTGATTTCCTGAGTAGAGAAGCAGCTAGGGGTGTTTGGGAGGGGATGCCAGCTTCAGGGCAGAGGAAAGGGACAAGGACGGTCTGAGCAGCCCTGACTGAGGCTGTCTAGGACAGTACGGAAGACTGGTAGGTAGCACATTGTGTGTTCTCGCTTAGACAGGTCTGGAGGGACAGCTGATAGGTGGGTCCAGTCTTGGGGGAGTGTGTGTGTGTTGGGAAAATGGGCAATGGAGGGGTTCTGGGGTCAGGCCTAGCAGTGTGTGGTCAGGCAGTGAAGAGAGAGTAAAGCTAGAGAGAACTCAAGTCCACAAAGGGCCTCTAGGACCTGGTGTGCTTGGACACCCTCATCTACCAAGAGGGACTGAGGACTCAGGCAGACTCCAGCCACAGGACAGGACTTGGTCCCTGGACTCGCAGTTCAGCCCCACATGGGAGGGATAGGGTACAGTTAGTGTGTCCAGAGTAGAAGAGATGCTGGAGGGGGAAAAATAGAGCATAGAAGTCATCCCTCACGCAGAGCTTCCTGAAAGAGGCATTTGGATACTATCTAGAAGGGTGAAGTGTCATCAGTGGGACACACTGGCTACCTTTTGCTCCAGGACACGCTGGTCAGCTAGAACAGGCTGTGACAGAGCCGTCAGGCAGGGTTGGCTTTGAGAGCGGTGAGGGAAATAGGCTGACTGATAAGTCGTAAAGAGAAGACAGTAGAGCCAGGAGCACCCCGTGGCTTTCTTTCTTTTTTTTTTTTTAATATTTATTTATTTTTTATGTATACAATAGTCTATCTGTATGTGTGTCTGCAGGCCAGAAGAGAGCACCAGACCTCATTACAGATGGTGTTGTGAGCCACCATGTGGTTGCTGGGAATTGAACTCAGGACCTTTGGAAGAGCAGGCAATGCTCTTAACCACTGAGCTATCTCTCCAGCCCCCACCCAGTGACTTTCTACTCAAGGACTAGGAGTCCCCAGAGGATCAAGTGGGCCCCAGTTCCTATGACACACACATACCCACCCCTTGCCCTTGCAGACGAAGCTGCAGGAGCAGAGGCAGTACATCGTGGCGGAGTTTAAGCAAGGCCACCAGTTTCTAAAGAAGCGGGAGCAGCACCTGCTAGACCAGCTGGCCACCCTGGAGCAGCTCCTCACCGAGGGCAGAGAGAAGTTCAAGACCCGGGGCGTCAGTGAGCTTGGCCGGTTGACTCTTGTCATCTCCGAGCTGGAGGGCAAGGCACGGCAGCCTGCTGCGGAGCTAATGCAGGTGAGAGGCCCAGGGCCCGAGTGGGAACCTGGCTTTTGAGGAAATTCCTCCTCCTGGGTCCTCAGTTTTACTGTCTAAAATAAATAAATGGGTATGGTAGTCTTATCCTCCTTGTCTACTCCACATGAGCTTAAACACTGACCTGGTATCACTTTAGAAAAGTCAGCATCATCTGCAGCAAAAAGTGTCTAAGAAATCTTACAGTGCCTTAGAACTGAAGGTCTCTGTTATCATCTTTCCTCCACCAAGCCCGCCTTGTAACAAGACACATATTTGTTGTTTTTGAGACAGTCTTACTATATCCTAGTATCTGTCCTGAAATTAAAGGCAGTCCTCTGTGGCAGAGACTGCTCATTCGTTTCCCAACTGCCCAGACCCAAATAATAACACAGAAACAATATTAATTACAGCACTGTTTGACCAATCATTTAGGCATATTTTTAGGTAACTCTTACATCTTAATTTAACCCATTTCTATCAATCTGTGCATCGCCACGAGACTGTGGCCTGTCACCTGGCGGCTGGCATCTTTCTCTTTCAGCAGCTATGTGGAGTCTCCCTGACTTTGTCTGCTTTCTCTCTAAATCTCTGTTCAGATTTCCTGCCTGTCTTTACTCTGCTAAACCATTGGCCAAATCAGCTTCTTTAATAACCAATGGTAATAAAACATATTAATAGCATACAGAGGTAATCCCACATCAGTCTTCCTGTCTCAGCCTTCTGAGTCCTGGGATTATAGATGTGGCTGAGGTAGGTACTTAGTGGTAGATGCCATATATGGCTCTGGAGATGAGGCAAGGTTGAGCTGTGGCTGCCAGGATCCCGAAGTGCATCTAAAGGGAGGCCAAGTGAAGAAGGAAGATAGATAGATGGGAGGTTTCTTGTGGACACTGGGGCATCCTCCTAGAGAACAGATTGACACGTATGAGAGGTGCCTCAGGACACGCAGGGAGAGCAGGCTGTCAGATTGCACTGGTACACCTCTTCCTCCTTCCCTTATAAGCCAAGAAAGGGGCCATCTGCTCGGTTCCTCTGACTCTGACTCCGTGGTTTGAGGTAATGACCCTTTCCGCCAGCGGAGACACACAAAGGTCTCTAGGAAACGGGATTCCAGGCCAACGGCAAAGGCACATCAGTAGCCGGGGGCGAGAGACAGTGACGCCAGTCCCTAACACAGGCTGCATAAACAGGAGGCCTGGTCCCTAACACAGGCTGCATAAACAGGAGGCCTCTCTTTGTGGCACACTGAGCCTCAGGTAAAAGGGCTGGCTGGACCAGGCCCTGGGGCAGATTAGGAATGAGGTCCAATTTAGCCAGGTATCCGCCCCCAGGCTTTGTACTTTGTCTCTTTGTCCCAGGTTCCCCTGTCTCCTTCCTTTATACCTAAGATAGGCATTGCCTCTTCTCTAGATTTCTTTAGACTCTAGGTCACTTGTCTCCCTCCACTCCTTCCTTTCCCTTCAAGGAGCACATCAGGTTCCCAGCAGCCCGTCCATGTGTGGTGTGTAAATATGAGTTGTGAGTGGAGCAGCTGAGTGTGCTGGGGTGTGTCACCAGGGTGTCTGTCTAGAGAGTATTTCCCCTGATCCACCCTGGGGTAGCTCCTATGCAGAAGCCCCAGTCTGTACCTCGGGGCTCTGCCCCCGAAACTCCCATGGTGGAGAGTGCTGAGGAGGGAAAATAGGGGTTTCTGTTTAAAAACACAACACAGGATGCTGGTGTTAGCAGATTTTGTCTGTATTTGGGTTTCCCCGGAGCAGAGCCCCTCAGCCTTCTGGAACAAGTCCTTAACCACCACAGTTTGACGATTGCATTTGTTTTCCAAATTGTACCTCCCTGAGAAGCCAGCCTGTCCCCTGCCCATCCCCCTTCACTCTCTGACTCCCCTAGCACCTGTCACTAACACAACATGGTGTTATATATTTTTTTATGTTGATTTTTTTTTCTTCCTCTCTTGTCTGCTTCCCTCTGCTAGGATGCCTGCTCTACACAGGTAGGGATGTCTCTTTTTTTATTGCTACTTCACTTCATACTTGTAGATCAGTGCTTGCCTGGCACAAGGAATCACTTAGCAAAGGTTTGTGGAGTCAAAGGAAGGTGAAAATCAGTCAACACAGAGAACGGTGAAGGCTTCAGGCTCAGCAAAGCAACACCTCACGAGATGTTCCCACCCTCGCTGTCCTGCGTGTCTTCCCCTCGTGCAGACAGCACCACTGTCTTCCTCCTGCACAGGGTGCCTGTCCTTAGTGATCCTCGGCCAGCATATCCACTGGGTTGCTCTAGAACAGTCATGGGATGCCCAGCTTCTCTCTTGTGTCCCCTGCTGCCGTCTCCAGCTCCCTGTTCCACAGCGGCCACCAGGGTGACCACAATGACCACCAGGGTGACCACAATGACCACCAGGGTAACCACAGCGGCCTCCAGGGTGACCTCCCCTGTTCCCATCACCTTCTACCACCACTTGCCAAGGAGCAGCCAAGTGACTGGCCACCTAGGGTCTCTGCTAGCTGCTGCCCAATTGCTCATACAGAGCAGAAGTTCCTTTGTCTTCATAGCAGTTCAGAGGTGTGAGTCTAGAGACATCCATGAGGTCGTCTAAGACTTGGTTTATTTGCCGCTGTCTAGTCTTGGGGGGTATTGTTCTCAGCCGTGCAATCGCTGTTCAAAGTTCAACCAATGAGAGGAAAGGAACTAGAAAGCAATTTTTTTTTTTTTTTTTAAAGAGCAAGAAGTCTTGGTCTTTTCCCCCCTGCATCCCATTGGGACTTAGTCACATGACCAGACTTCATTGTAGGGAATGTGGGAAATGTAGTTTCTTGACTGGTCACATGTCATGCCAGAACTTAAGGAGTTTAGTATTATAAAGAGGAGAAAGGACATGTAACATGGCTTAGCAGGAAAAGGCACTGGCTACCAAGCCTGGTCACCTGCGATCAACCTACAGAACCCACATGGTGGAAGGAGCACCGACTCCCCCAAGTTGTCCTTTGACCTCCATGTACATACATTGCGGTATCTCACACACGCACACACACACACACATACACACACACACATGTTTAAAAGCGGGGAGGTCAGGGAATGGGTGCTAGGGATAGTTGCCATTTATCCCAGTGTGCGTAGAGTAAAATTCGCCACCGTCACCTCATCCTGCCTGCTGTGATCTGGCCCTGCCTCCTCTCTGAATCCTTTCCCATTTCTTATCAGTCTGCACCCGGCCAGTACTTTATCATTCTTCAAACCTTAGCTGGAGTGTCTCCTTGGAGCCAGGTCACTTGCCACCTCTGGTCATTTCTGCCCTTGTGTTGTTTGCTCATTTTATTTTATGATGTGTATGGGTGTTTTTACATCAGTGTATGTCTGTACACACTTGTATACTTGGTGCCTGTGGAAGCCAGAAGAAGGCACTGGGTTCCCTGAACCTGGAGTTGTAGATGGTAGTGAGCTGCATGTGGGTGCTGAGAATCGAACCTGGATCCTCTGGAAGAGCAGCCAGTGCTCTTAACCACTGAGCCATCCTCCAGCCCATTGTTGGTTTTCTAGCCCCTCTTGACTGTCGGCTCCCTAGGGGAGGAAGCCATGTATATTTTGTTTGCTGTTGTGTGCCTGCCTGTTATATGGTGTTGACTTATGGATGCAGTTCTACTTAATTCACTTTGGTGCTTGCATTTTCTTCCTTTGCAGGACAGCAAGGACTTTGCCAACAGGTAAGAGTTTCCTTTGCTCATTGTTACTCTCCTATTTCTGTGACCATGGTCCTTGTAAATGATGGGGAGTGATAGGCAAGGCAGCCCTTGTTTCATCCCACAGCCTGTAAGAAAGCATAGTCTTGGAGTTGGAGAAATGGCTCAGAGGTTAAAAGCATTGACTGTTCCTCCAGGGGTCCTGAGTTCAATTCCCAGCAACCACATACTCCCAACCATCTGTAATGAAATCTGGTGCCCTCTTCTGACTGCAGGAAAGCATGCAGACAGAGCACTGTATACATAATAAATAAAATAAATCTTAAAAAAGAAAGTGAAGCCTAGAGGCTGTTCTTTCTCCATCCGACTAGGCTCACTGTCTTCACCTGAAGCCCAGCGGGAGAGTCCAAGCATGGCTCTGTAGACAGAGTGCTCACTTGTGGGATCTGCTGGTGGCCTCATATCCTGGTTTTGTCTTTAACCAGCTTTTCTGTCTCTTGATTAGGGATAATCAAGACTTTCCTGCTTGCTTTATAATTGTCACAGACACCGACAGAGTAGCAAGAAGAACCAAATGACCAGATGTTGTTGTGTCTGTCATGTTTCCAGGTACCCACGGAAGAAGTTCTGGATTGGGAAAGCCATCCCCCACATGGTTAGGAGGAAGGCAGGAGAATTCTCAGATAAACTTCTCTCTCTGCAGCGAGGCCTGAGGCAGTTCCAGGGTAAGCACTGGGGACAAAACCAGGCTTGGAGGTTTCCTGGCTTCTCACGTCCGTATTCTCCCATCTCATCCTTCCAAGGAGCTCTAGCATCTGTATCTTCTCTCTTTGGGATCTCCAGTGGAACCCTGTCCAGTAATTAATACCAAGTAAGAAATAGGTTCATGAGTTTGCTAGTCTGCAGCTCATTTCTATCTTCCTTTTCCTCCTTAGGCAAGCTGCTGAGAGACTTGGAGTATAAGACGGGTGAGTAAACAAAACACTCCCCGCTGTGGAATCCCCTCTGGTATCGCCCAGAGGTGGCCCGTGCCTTGCATTTCTGGTTACTGTGTAGTCTACAGTATTGGTGATGCTTTGACATCACAGGTCACACTTCTAGTACTTCTCCTCTACCCGACCACGTGGTCCTTGAACAGCTATGGAAGCCCAGGCCAGAGGTGTGTGCAGAGTGCCTCTAGGGCACACCCTTCACAGTACTCTTTGGGTTGTGCAGTGAGGCAGCACTGACTCTATGGACAGTGGTTGCCCCTTCCCAGCCCGCCGTTGACACTATTCCTTCCTCCCTTTCCCACAGTGAGTGTCACCCTGGACCCACAGTCGGCTAGTGGGTACCTGCAGCTCTCACAAGACTGGAAGTGTGTGACCTATACCAGCCAGTACCAGAGTGATTGCCTGCAACCCCAGCAGTTTGACTGTGAGCCAGGGGTGTTGGGCAGCAAGGGCTTCACCTGGGGCAAGGTGTACTGGGAAGTGGAGTTGGAACGAGAAGGCTGGTCAGACGATGAGGAGGAGGGGGAAGAAGAAGAAGAAGGGGAAGAGGAGGAAGAAGATGAGGAGGCTGGCTATGGGGATGGATATGAAGACTGGGAAACAGATGAGGATGAGGAATCACTAGGGGAGGAAGAGGAGGAGGAAGAGGAAGAGGAGGAGGAAGTTCTGGAAAGCTGCATGGTGGGAGTGGCCAAAGACTCTATGAAGAGGAAAGGGGACCTGTCCCTGCGGCCAGAGGATGGTGTGTGGGCCCTTCGGCTCTCCTCCTCAGGCATCTGGGCCAACACGAGCCCCGAGGCCCAGCTCTTCCCAGTGCTGCGGCCCCGGAGAGTGGGCATCGCCCTGGATTATGAAGGGGGCACCGTGACATTCACCAATGCAGAGTCACAGGAACTCATTTATACCTTCACGGCCACTTTCACCCGGCGTCTGGTTCCCTTCCTGTGGCTCAAGTGGCCAGGAACACGCCTCACGCTGAGACCCTGAATTCCAGAACCTGCCTAGGCTACACAACAGAATCTGCAGTTCTCTGAGATTCAAGGACTCTTGAGATGAAGAAGGTTGCCTGGATCCCATACCTCTGGAAGCTTCCTTTCTGTGGGATCCCAAAACTGTGTGAAGGAGGAACTTTCTTGGCCAGAGCAGCAGGAAGAGGAGAGTTGAGGGGCATCACGTCCAATCGCACCCATGTCCCTACTGCCATGGCCAAGCTCTCTCAGCCCTGTCACTCCGTCTGTATTTCTTGTTCTAACTTCACACCCCCCCCCTGCCCATTTCCTCTGGGATCTCCTGCTCTGAAGACCAAATGACCCCCTCCATCCTGAGCATCCATTTGTCTTGACTCTGTTCTCTGTTGAGTAGGGGCAGCTTCAGCGTCATTTTCTGGTTCAGTTGTCCAGTGCTACTAGGTATTGAGTGACATCTGAAACCTTTTTGCTGTCCTCAAACTTGAGGTTCCTCTTCCCAAACCGTTCTTGCCTACTTTCCTTGGCTTCTTAACCTCACTTTTCCTACCCCACTAGAGTTAAGTATCTGAAGAAACGAGAATGAACATAGTCCAGACCCACTCAAGTTTCCAAGGCTGTGTGAGTTTGTGTCCTGAGTGCTGGTGGATCATCCCCTGGTGTAGTTAGCAGAGCTCATGGCCTCCAAACCCAGAGCTGAGCAGGTGGTTAATAATTTACCTCTGCAGAGTAGTCCTTGTGAAGGGATTTTCCACAACAATCCCAACATCTTGCTCTTGATCAGTGATCTAAGAACACTGATATCAGAACTACCCCTGCCTCGGGTCTCCAGCTAGTGTCTCTGGACAGCTTTAAGTCTCTGTTGTTGGCACCAAGTAGTGTCCAGAGTCACTGTCTTAGGAGCTGGACTGGAGAGGGAAGACAGGATCACGAGGAATCTACTGTGAGGGGTGCGCGTGCTGACCCAACACCAGCACCTTTGTTCAGTCACCACTGTCCACAGTTAGCCAACACGGTGCCCCTCTTTTTATCCTTAAACATTCCACATTTCCTCTTCCTGTCCGACTGTTCAGCTCCTCTTTGCTCTTGAGAGACTGCTCCCAGACACTCAGTCTTGGTGACAGCAGAGTCACCACTGTCTCAAGACTGAACACTTTGTATCACCTGCTGCCTGAGCCACTAGTAACGCCCGGTGGCTCCCTCGCCACCTTTTACTTCCTGGAATTAATCATCTTCTCTTCCTTCTCTTTTAATTCATTTCTTGTGTCTTTATGACTAAACAAACTACAAGTTCTTTTCAATGGTCAGAAATCTCAAGACAGTCCTCCGGTGCTGTCTCCAGCTTTATCTTGATGCCTCTGAAGTGACCTTGAACCTGACTCATCCATTGCCCCCTCTGTGCACAGCTTTTTAGATCCCCTTTTGTTGTTAGACGGGAAGTTCCAGGATTTTCCCACCAAGGCCTCTAGCCCAGGCTAGGCACAGTCTCCTTAGGTGGCTGAAGATGGTCCTTAGTCTTACAGCCTCTACCTTCTAAATTCTGAGGTTTCAGGTAGGTTCCACTATGCCTAGTTTATACAGTGCAGGGGACTGAACCCAAGGTCTCATGCATCTTAGGCAAGCACTACTCAGCTGATCCCCAACCATGGTCCTGGTTCTGGGCCCCGTGTTTCCTCCCCCCGTTTACTGTGTTTTGTTCAGACATTATCTAAAACTTCCTGAGGTGAGTGTGGAAGGTGAATTTTTTTTTTTTTTAAATCTTCAGTATCTAAACTGTTTATCTCACTTGTACACTGGAGGGATTCACTATAGGATTATTCAAAATAGTTTTCCTTCAGAATGTCAGAGGATTGCTTCACTGCCTTAAGCTCCTGTCGTTCAGAATTCCCGTGGGGCACTCTGCCTCGTGATCTTTCTCAGTGGCCCGTTTCTGTTTTACAGAGGGATCTGAAAGTCTTATCTGTACCTTTATTTACTCCACGTACTAGCACGTTACACTCTGAATGGTACATTTGAATGCTCACATGCGTGCGTGCACACACACATGGAACTTATATACATACATAAAATTAAGGGACTGGACAGGATCTCAATATGTAACCCTCCGTAGCCTGGAACTCACTATGTAGACATGGCTGGCCTCAGACTCTGGGTGAGATTTAAAGGCTTATATGCTGCTGCACCTAGGGAAAGGAAAAATTTGTTTTACAGGCATCTGAGGCAACCTAGAAAAAGGTTTATCTTGGCTCAGAGTTCCGAAGGTGCAGTCCATGATCATAGGTCTCAGTGCTTTTGGTGTCTGTCATCAACATATCCTGGCAGGCATGCTTGACAGAGTCACATCTCATCAATTGGGAGACAGTGAACCAGGCTCCCATAGTCCCCTTCCAGAGCACAGCCCACCTTGGGAACCAGTCATTTAACAGAGGATCGTTCAGAGGCCTTGACCATCAGAACTGTAGACTCTTGCCAGTCCTAGCTTGAAGTAGTCACAATAGATAGATTAGATACAAAACACATAGGCCTGTGGGTAACATACTTTATTAAGACATTGAAGACCTGTACAAATGACCTGAAAGGGCTTTGGGGTCCACCCAGAGTTGATGAGGCCCCGAAGTGTATCCAGTTTTTGTGTCCAAAAGCCACTATAAATTAATGCAAGCCAAACAGAGTCCTGGCTTCCCTACACTGATCACTTTGAAGCTTTTACAGGTTTTTGTTTTCTTTTGTTTTTCCTCTTCTGAATCCCGTTGACTCATAGCTTACTGGTGTAGCCTTCCTTGCCTGCCTCTGGCTCTTCACTCGAATAGAACTGCAGGAAGCCGAGTGTACTTAACACAGATTAAAAACCGCTATACAAGACTCCAAGACAATAAATTCCAATCCCACTTTTGAAGGCTAGCGACAGAGCTGGGTTCCAGGCTGCTGGGGTCTCGGCCACACTTCCTGACTCCACCTTGGTCATTCAAAGTCAGGCAGGAACTTGTTTTCCAGGTGAGGTAGGAATAGAGAGAGAGGACCATTGGTGCTCTAGTATGGGATGTTTCCAAGGTAGTCCAAGGCCATGTCTGCACAATGAAGGACAGCTGTGTCCCCCGGTTCAGGACAGGTGGGTACTGGCCAGCTGGAGCAAGAGCCTCAAGAGCATTCAGTCACTGTCCTTGGTATCTATGGCCTGCTCGCCCACATCCTGGCCATCTCGGCGCCCACTCCCGTGGTGCAACTTACATTCAGGCTCGGGTTTGTGGTCTGAGGGTTCACAGTGACCTCACACGAGGACTTCCAGGATGGAGTATCGTCCATGCTGCCTGCTTCTTAGGCCTCTATTTCTGGAGGACAGATGTGACATCTCTGCCTGAGAATTTGCTTCTTATTAAAGTGAGGTGGCCAGGCTACAGTGCAGTGCCTGGGACCTCGTAAAAAGGCAATCTTGAGCCCCACCATAGGCCACCCAAACAAGAGCCTGTATTTTAACCAGGTGTCTGGATGGCGTTTCTACACTAAGTTAAAGAAGTAGGGATCGATGTAAGAACAGGCAGGTGCATGTAGGAACAATTAAGCTCCAATTTGAAAGTTAATGTTATTTTTGTTCCTCCCTCTCTCCCCTCTCAGCACCTTTTTTTTGTGGTACTGGGACTTTATGCATTCTCGGCAAGCAAGCTCTAGTAGAAAGTTATTAGTACAGCCCTAGAGCCCACCCCATCCCCAGAAAGAGTGTCAGTAGCTAAGGCTGGCCTGGAACTAACTCAGAAGCTCAGGCTGACCTCGAACTTGCAGCAGTCAATCTGATTGCCTCTAGTTCTGGGATTATAGCCGTGTGCCACCACCCCCAGCAAAATGCTAGTTTTTTTTTTAAAAAATATACAATATTAGTTCAAATTTACAGCGATTGTAGCATAATTCTAGGCAAAACTTGGGGCTTAGTACGTGTTTTGGACGACTATGTAGGTAACTGACAACATTCATCAGTCACTGTGTCCAGTACTGTGCTGAGCTCTGTACACATTAATTTATTTAATCCTCATATGGATTCCTAGTGTAGATTGTTATTGTTTACATTTTATGGTGGAGAGAAAAGGCTTAATAGTCCCGAGACCCCAAGCAGTCAGGGTCCAGTGAGCACATTTCATTGCTGTGTGTGGCCGTGGGTGCGATGGACAAGTGGGGTGGAGCCCCCTCCCCAGCCCTTGCTGATTACCTGAATCTGTTTCCAAATGGTGCGTCAAGTTTTCTGAGGAAAGAAGAAAGAGAAAGAACTGTGAGACTTGCTGTCTCTTACAAGTACTTCCAAGGGGAGGGTGTTCTGGCTACCGTGTGAGGGCAAGGGCAGAAGAGAAACTGCCTCATTTTCCTGGACTCTCAGCCTAGTGTCTCTATCCTTACTCCCTCAGTAGAGCGGGGTCTTGTGGGAGTTTCTGGGGGAGGAAAGATGCTTGACCCAAGCTGTTTGCTGATTTTTGTTTGAGTTTCACTGTGTAGTCCAGGCTGGCCTGAAACTTGAGATCCTCCTGCCTCAGTCTCCCTGGTGCTAACATTACAGGCCTGCTTGGTGGTTTGAACCGGGTTTTGAAGATGGGGAAAGATAGAGACAAATGGAAGGGTAGGAGATTCCCTTTACCTGAGAATGTCCTCATCATCTTTGGGAGGCCAAGTATTTTCCTGTGGAGGTTTCGGATCTTCTTAGCAAGATCAGAGGAAATGGCCTCTGGACTCACAAAAGTCTTTGTCTCATACCTGCAAACAAGTTGGAAATCAAACTTAAATTCTACAAATAAAGTACTTCATTTTATTTGTGTGTGTGTGAAAAGCCCTGGTTCTTGTTCATTTCAGTCTCATTACTCATTGACTATGTGACTTAGCCAATCTCCCCTCAGCTCCCCATCACATTGTAAGACTCACTGCGTCCTTCTCGACTCGGTTCTAACATTCTTTGAGAAGCACATTTGGAGACACTTTCAAATGGCCTTAGGTGCTAAAACATCAGTAAATTCATGGATTAATGTTAACTTCTTGGAGCTGGACATGCCAAACAGCTGAGTTTGGTGCCCAGCATATACAGGGTGGCTCACAACAATTCTAGTTTTAGGGGATCTGCCAGCCTCCTCTCGTTTCCTCTGGCACCAGACATGTACACGGTATGCAGGCGTGTTTGTAGACAAAATGCCCCTACACATAGAATGCAACAGACGTATTTGCAGACAAAATGCCCCTAGACATAGAATGCAAGTAATTTTTTAAAAATCTGGATCATTCTAAAGCCATGGTTTTTATATATAACTGCTTTGATGGGGGGAAAGTATGTCTCAAAAGCCAACATACCTACTTATTTAGTTACTTTGAAGATAGGGTCTCTGTAACCCAGGCTTGCCTCAAACTCACAATGAACCCTCCACCTCAGCTTCCCAAGTGCTGGGATTAAAGGCATGAGCTACAAGGCCTAGTTTCAACCCATCTGTTTACTGATTTTGAGCTGTTAGTGGAGAACAAGAGGCCACAGTGTGTTTCTGGGTAGCCATCCACAAGGGAACAGATGGATTGCAGTGTCTTCAGGATGCATATAAAGAAGGCAGGAATAGAAAGGACCTTACTTGCTCTGGTTGAGTCTGACATCCTACAAAAGAAACACAAAATAAACAGTTAGTTTCCACATGGCCTTTCCCGTTGGGGATGCTAGGTCCTTCTGTCTTAACATAAGCTGAAAGTTCCTACCCAGAGTGCTGGAGCCCCTTCACTACCTGCTATGCATTTCACTCCTCTCTTGATACTTCCTGACTAGTGTAGACTCTGCACCCAGTTCTTTGCTCTGACTGATCTGTTCCAGCTGCATCCTTAAATGGGTGCTGCCTCCCGTGATTAAGAGATAGCAGAGACCAGCCTCGATTCCAGGTTGGAACGGATGGGCAGGATTGTGGTCACCACCACAAAGGCATTGATGGAGGTCTTCCTGCGTGCTGGGCACTGACTAAGACCACACATGGGTTATTTCTTACATGGTTTACAGCTCCACGAAAGGACGCTGTTATCACCCTCTGCCTAGAGAAGCTAAGAGACTCACCCAAGTGACATAGTTGGAAGAGCTGACACTAAAGTCAAGATTGTCTGATCCTGGTCGTCTTTACAAGGTCCTCATGCATGCCTTGGGAAATCTCCAGTCTTCTGGGCCATAGAAAGCACACCCTCCCCCAGCCCTTCTCAGTGAGATAATCCCCATTTCCTTTTCCTGCCTTTCTCCATCACCTCCCAGTTGCAGCACAGTACCACCCTAGTGGAACCGTCTGCTGTCCCACGGGGTGGCAAGATGGTGGAACGTCTCTCACTTGCAGAAGCTCACTTGCTGGTCGCTGACACTTCTCCTCCAGCTCTTCAACCTGGGCACCCAGGCGGTGGACCTCCTGAGAGACCTTTGTGATGTACTCGTCTCTCTCCTTCCAGATCTGCTGTTCTAGCCCCTCCAGCCTGGTCATCAGGAGGTGCCTCTGGTCCCCAAGCTCCTGCTTCAGCCTTTCAAACGTGGCTTCTACCTGCTGCTTCTTGCCTTCAATCTGCGTCTGTGAGGATATGAGGAGGGACTCAGAACTGGCCTCCAGAAGGATCATCTGTGCACTTATTAGGAGAAATAAGGAATAAGCAGTTTCAAGACACATTTCTTCAAATAATAACAATGGTAGGAAGCGGTAGGTCTCAAGTTGAACTTGCTGGTGATAAGAGCTGGGCTGTTGTCTTAGCCAGGGATTGTAAAGTCATATTCAATTCTTAGAGCCACACTAGACTAAAAAAAATCATCTTTAATTTTCTTCTCTGTTACTGTGATAAAACACGACAAAAACTAGATTAAGAAGGAAAGGGTTTATTTCATCTTATACTTCCACATCACTCAGGGCAGGAACTCAAACAAGGACCTAGAAACAGAGGCTGTGAAGAAACGCTGCCTACTGGTTTGTTCTCCGTGACATGCTCAGCCTTCTGTCTAGCCAGCACCACCTGTTCCTGTGTAGGCTGAACCTTCCAACATCAAATATTTCATTAAGAAGATGTCCCATAGACTTGCCACGTACAGCCAGTGCAATGGAAGCATTTTCTCAACTGCTTTCTTTTCCCCTCAGTTCCTCACGTAGGAAGGGTTCCCTCTTCCTCAATGACCCTAGTTTGTGTCAAGTTAACAAAAAACCAAACAGCACACATAACACATCTTCTTTAGACTCATGTGGAGTAACTGTACTAACATCTTTCTTTTCTTGAGATATATGTCCATGTCTCATGTAGCCTAGCCTGGCCTCAAACTCAGTTCAGCATGTAGTCAAGGATGACCTTGAGCTTCTGACTCTCCTACCTCTACCACCCAAGTGCTAGAATCACATCAGAACTGCCATTTTATTCAATACAGGGAGTGAGACTAGGGCTCCATGATTCTAGGCAATCAGTCTTCACACTGAGCTATCTATCCAACCCAACAACAGTAATCTCATAGAGAAAGATTAAGACAAAAGGGAACTGTGATCAGTTACCACCTATGAGGCATGTTTTGATGGAATTTCAGAGATGCTGAAGAGAGCTTTCTGTCTCAACACTCTGCCTCTTTGGTCAAAGTATCAGAAATATCTAGTGTGTGTTTTCCTCTTGATAACTGCACCATGAAGGAAATGGTGAGAATCAGCAAAATCTAGCTGCTTAATTCTTCTTCTGTCCTCAGGACCTGAACCTAGACACTGATGGACACCCCCAGAGGCGTCCCAGGTGAAGGTGATGTATCCAGTGGATACGCTGGGCCAGGAGAGCCATGGACACAGGTCAAGAGACCTAAGTTCTAGTCCATTTCATCATGAATTTGGACTTTGCCACATGGTGTTAGGAGCTCAGGTTTCCCCTGTATATGAGAAGAATAACATATTTCTTGGCTTCAAAGACATCAGAACCACCTCCAGCCTCCCTGTCCTGAGACACCAGATGCCTTTGTGAGGCTGCAGGAAGATGAATTAGAAAATGCTGAAGTTCTTCTCAGCCCAGTAACAGACTTCCTTAGTCTTTGAAGGAAACTCCCAAGGGAGCAGCCAGAGGATGTAATTCAGTTGGTGCCTAGCATGCACAACCCCCTCGGCTGGATATCCATTAGTCATAGACAGGGTATGGTGACACATGACTGGAAACCCAGCACCTGGGAGGTGGAAACAGCAGGATCAGCTAAGTAGTGAATTTGAGGCCAATTTAAGCGACGTGAGATCCTGTACCTAAACAAACAAAAGAAAGCAAAGGAACAGAAGTGTGGTCTTTACCAGGAGCTCTCGGAGCTTCTGATCTTCCTCACATTTCCTGTCCTCTATCTTGTCCCGCTCCGTCCTCAGAGCTTCTAGCCGACTCCTGAGACGATCCTGTCAGAGAGAGGAAAGCATAGGGAAAGCGGGTCCGTGAAAAAAAAAATCCAGCTGGCAAATACCGTGGGCTGTGTTGTGGAAGCACCACTGAGGCGCAGAGATTCGAATCCTTGACCTAGACGGTGATCTAGGTCAGGAACAGGACCGGGTGGCACTGTGGAGATGGAAAAATGTAGTGTGTGCGCCAGCTGGGAGACAGGAGCGAAAAGGAGGGCTGAGCGATGCCTTTATCTCTATCCCTTTTCCTTCACCCACCCTCGGCAGGCAGGTCCCCATCCTGCCCGCCTGGAAGCAGCAGCTGAGTTCCTTACCCTGTAGGGTTGGATGGCTTCGTCCAGGAACCCCACGGTGTGCGCCTGGTGGGCGGGGCTCTCCCGGCAGAACACGCAGAGCAGCTCCGCGTCGGTCTCGCAGAAGAAATAGATTTTCTCTCCGTGATCCTCGCAGCAGGTCTCGCCTAGGGCACCCAGGGGCACTGGAGTCACTGCGGCCTGGGTTTGCTCCTCTTCTTCCTCCTGACAGAGCGGGCACAGTAGCTGGGCCCCCATCGGGGTGCGCGGGAGGCAAGGTAGGCAGACAGAGTGTCCGCATGCTATGGTCACCGCATCCTTCAGGGGCCGGGAGCAGGCAGGACAGACTACGTGCTGGAGTCCCCGCAGGGACCTGGTCGAGGGCATCACCGTGCCTTTCCCTGCCCGTCAACACAGTCTTCAGCTTCTGTCCACTCCAATTTCCTTTCCCTGAAACTGAGTCACTTGTAAGTGCGTCACTGTCACAGAGGCAAAGGAATCCGAGGCTGAACGAAAGGCAGGAATGTCAGCTCAGCAAAGTTACCTGCTCTGCCTCAGGCACGCCCAGAACCCTGGGCCACCACCCAGCAGCTAAGCAGGTCCAAACTCCAGGACGTCTTGACTACCCAGCGTTTCCCAGTGGCAGGCAGGAGACCTAGCTCTCCACTCCGGTTGCCTTCTGTCCCAGGGGTGGGGAGCAGCGTATTGCACCATGAGGTCACTTGGAAATGGGGTTTCCTGGAATCGCTTGGCCACAGAGGGTGGGGCCTTTGGGGAGGAGCCGCTTCCTGTCACGCTGAGCAGGTGAGAGCCATAAATTTCGCTCTAGGAGGCCTACAGTAGCATCAAAGTCCAGCCCGTGGTGTTGAGAGTGACTTCGAACTGCAGGCCCACAGGCCCTTCCTTTCCTCATCTGCCTCTCTGCCTCCCTGCTGGTGCCATCTTCCCTGCGCTGCTAACACAGATGCTGAGCACCACCTGGAGCCTGGGTGATACTGGATGTCATTTTTAGTTTTTTTTTAATAAAAAGATTTATGTGTGTGCGTGCATGTGTGTGTGTGTGTGTTGGGATGTGCCACATGTGCAGGTTCTCTCAGATGGATCCCCTGAAGTTCAATTTCCAGGCAGCTGTGAGTTATTCACATCCCACTTGAAAGTGCAGCTACTCTTAATAACTGAGCCATCTTTCCAGCCCTTCGATTTTAAATTTTTACTAATTTTCATTTATTTTTTTATTTTTATTTCTTACGTGTATGATTGTTTTGTCTGCCTTTATGTCTGTGCACCTCTGTGCGCAGTGCCCTAAAAGGCCAGAAGAGGGCGCCAGATGCCCTGGAACTGGAGTTACACTTGGTTGTGAGCCTGAGACGCTGAGAACCCAGCCTGAGTCCTCGGCAAGAGCAGCAAATTCTTTTTATCCTTCAGTCATCTTTCCAGCTCCAGCAATATACATACATCCTCTTAGCAATTACTCCAGAACTACATCCAGTTTAATAACAACCCATTGAGAAAACTGTCTGCCCTACCTACTCCCCAGCCGCACACCCCTCAACAACTGTCTGCCCTACCTACTCCCCAGCCGCACACCCCTCAACAACTGTCTGCCCTACCTACTCCCCAGCCGCACACCCCCAACAACTGAGCAGTGGTACGTGGTCAGCCCTGGCTGAGGTGTGCTGTGTGTATAAAAGACTTCACATAAATGCAGAGAAACGTGCAAGTTTGCTAGTATTTTATGTTGGCTGTGTTCAAATAATATTTTGGAAACATTAGAGCAACTTAAATATACTATTGACATTTATTTTTATCTTCCTTTTCTTTTTTTTTACATTTTTCTCGACCTTTATTATGAGAAGAATCCAAACTTATTGGTACTGTGAAGGAATATTAGCACAAATACCTGTTGTTCTTTTCAACTATGTCCTCTGCGGGTAACGATTAGGTCACCTGCTTTCTCTTCCACAAATACAGCATATATATCTCTTCAGAATAAGAAATTCCTCCACCCAATCATAATGTCATTAAGAATTTTAACAGGAATCAGTGTTAAGTTTACTGATGAATAAATTTAATGGATAGAGGCACCTGCTGCTGAGAACCTGAGCTCTTTTCCCAGAACCCACACAACTGAAGGAGAGAAATGACCTCACAAAGCTGCCCTTCACACTCCACATTCCTGCTGGGAAACTAGTACCCCTCCCCCACATACACACACACAAACACACCACTACACACACACACACCCCACCCCACACAAACACCCCTCCACACACACATACACACAAACACACCACTACACATACATACGCACCCTACCACACATAAACACACTCACACACCCCACACACATATACAAACACACATACAAACACACCACTACACACATACGCACCCCACCACACATGCACAAACACATACACACAAACACCCACACATTAATAATAACCAGATAATGCAAAAGAAAAAATTAGTAAGTTGCCCCAGTAATGTCGCTTTATAATTCTGTTCCACCGTGACTCAGCTCATATTGGCAGCTAGAAAATTTTACATCGCATGTATACAACATGTGGCTTCCACTGAATTCTGTTTTCCGTTTTCCCAAGAAGCATTTCATGTGGCTCAGGCCAATACTATGTAAGTAGAGTCTGGTCTTGAACTCCTGATTCTACCATCTCTCCAAACCGTGAGCTGAGATCACAGGCATGCACCACCGTGCCCAGCTGTGCTTTGTGTTTCTGGTAGACTGCATTGCCTGGAAGACTCATAGCACTGACTTGCAGATAGTCACTTGTGCTCTGTTTGTTCACCGTGGATGAGGTGAGGTAGCCTGGTGGAGCTTGCAAAGTGGAGGTACAAACAGCAGGATGTGATAGAGCAGACGGGAAATAAACTGTTTAAAGTGCTTCTATCGCTGGGAGATGTGTAGTCATGGTAAAAAAAAAAAAGTGCTGGCTGTGACTCCATTTTTCCTCCCCTACGCATCTTTCCCAGCCCTCTTTAAAAGTCTGTCACGGGCCTATGGAGGCATCACCACAGTTGCCTCCGTGTTGTACACACCCCAGCTCAAGGGCCTTATCTGAGTCCCCACATGCCCTGTCCACTGACTCTCAGGCCTTGTGCTGGCTGATACCGCCAATCTCCCTGGAGACAGGTGTTGCAGAGCTGGGGAGGCAGCGGTCCTCTGTGAGCCAGGCTCCTCCCTTTCCCAAAGATAGATCTCTTTTAACGGTGGACTGCTGAGAGACTAAACACTCTCATCTTCCTGTGGGCAGCTCCAGGCGGACAGAAAGGGACGGCGAGCCCCTAAGCCATGGGTACCGGTCCAGAGATACTCCAGCGTTTCTAGATGATGCTGTGAGCTCCTGGGTCACTTCCTTCGGCTATTTCGTCATTTCTGCTGTTGGCAGAAGTGTGTCCGCTCCTGGGAGAACAGGACAAGGGACCCCTGGTGCCAGAGATGCAATTGGGCCCCTTGTCCAAGTGTGTGTGACTGTGTCTATGTTCAGGCATGGTGTGTGTGTGGAGTGTATTCTTCACACGAAGCAGAGATGGTGACTTCCGGGAAGCAGAAGGCCCAGCAGGATTGACATGGCCTCAGCTCCTTCTGTGACTAGTCTGGCAGATGAGGTCAACTGCCCTATCTGCCAAGGCACCCTAAGGGAGCCAGTTACCATCGACTGTGGCCACAACTTCTGTCGTGGCTGTCTCACTCGCTACTGTGAAATCCCAGGCCCGGAATCGGAGGAGTCCCTCAGCTGCCCGCTCTGCAAAGAGCCTTTCCGACCAGGGAGCTTCCGGCCCAACTGGCAGCTGGCCAACGTGGTAGAGAACATCGAACGCCTTCAGCTGGCATCCACGCAAGGTCTGGAGGTGGAGGATGCCTGTCCTGAACACGGAGAGAAAGTCTACTTCTTCTGCGAGGAGGATGAGGCACAGCTGTGTGTGGTGTGCCGTGAAGCCGGACAGCATAGGGCTCACACCGTGGGCTTCCTGGAGGATGCAGCAGGTCCCTACAGGGTAGGAGAGGATCCCTGAAGGGTAGGAGAGGGCTGTAGGGGACCCTTGTGGGAGCTGGATTGGACCAAGGGAAGTAGAAAGGTCTTGTGGATTCTGGGGTGGAAGGGGTGTCCTAACTCCAAATTCTTTCTCCGTACTTACCTGATCTTCCAGGCAACAGACTCAAGCACAGAGAAACACAAGTTTGTGATTAAGAGCAAGTTCTATGTTGTTTCCTTGTGGACCATATATAGCAGGAGCTCAGTAAATCCTTTCTGAACGAATGAACCATCAAAGTGTGTGTCCTGTATCAGTTAGGTGTGCTGGAGGTTTGTGTTTTAGGGAATGGCGATGTTTGTATAGTTCCAAGAGTGAACGCCTTGTGTGGGGAGGGGTGGTCTGAGTGTGGTATATTTGAAGCATAAAGAATGTTGTGTCGTGAATTCCTGTTGTGAATAAGCTAGTTGGGTGAATATATGGATATATGTGGCACATGTTTTTATTGTTCACGGAGTATATTGCTGGTTTTAGGTACTTTTATTTAGGTACTGTATTTTGTTACAAACGCGTGTTTAAATGTATGTTGTAGCATTTGTTAATGACCTTTTGATAGTGAGGTTTCTCTATGTAATCTCTCTCTCTCTCTCTCTCTCTCTCTCTCTCTCTCTCTCTCTCTGCCAGGTTTTAATGTAGGCTTGCCTCAGACTAATTTTATTGCCTAGGATGACTTTGACTTTCTGATTCTCCTGCCTTTGTCCCCTGAACACTGGGGTTATAGGCATTTTATTCAGGCATTTATGATTATATCATTTCCTGCAGTGTTGGGAATTGAACCCAGGGCTTCTTGCATGCAAAGCAAGCACTCAGATGACTGAGCTACATTCCCAGCTTTTCTGTCAGTATTCTCTTTTTTAATGTTTTTTTTTAAATTTTATTTATTTATTAAAGATTTCTGTCTCTTCCCCACCACCGCCTCCCATTTCCCTCCCCCTCCCCCAATCAAGTCCCCCTCCCTCGACAGCCCAAAGAATAATCAGGGTTCCCTGCCCTGTGGGAAGTCCAAGGACCACCCACCTCCATCCAGGTCTAGTAAGGTGAGCATCCAAACTGCCTAGGCTCCAACAATGCCAATACGTGCAGTAGGATCAAAAACCCATTGCCATTGTTCTTGAGTTCTCAGTAGTCCTCATTGTCTGCTATGTTCAGCAAGACCAGTTTTATCCTAGGCTTTTTCAGTCCCAGGCCAGCTGGCCTTGGTGAGTTCCCGATAGAACATCCCCATTGTCTCAGTGTGTGGGTGCACCCCTCGCGGTCCTGAGTTCCTTGCTCGTGCTCTCTCTCCTTCTGCTCCTGATTTGGACTTTGAGGTTTCATTCCGGTGCTCCAATGTGGGTCTCTGTCTCTGTCTCCTTTCATCGCCTGATGAAGGCTAATATTCAGGAGGATGCCTATATGTTTTTCTTTGGGTTCTCCTTCTTATTTAGCTTTTCTAAGATCATGAATTATAGGCTCAATGTCCTTTATTTATGGCTAGAAACCAAATATGAGTGAGTACATCCCATGTTCCTCTTTTTGGGTCTGGCTTACCTCACTCAGGATAGTGTTTTCTATTTCCATCCATTTGACTGCAAACTTCAAGAAGTCCTTGTTTTTTACTGCTGAGTAGTACTCTAATATGTATATATTCCATACTTTCTTCATCCATTCTTCAATTGAAGGGCATCTAGGTTGTTTCCAGGTTCTGGCTATTACATACAATGCTGCTATGAACATAGTAGAGCATATACTTTTGTTGTATGCTAAGGCCTCTCTTGGGTATATTCCCAAGAGTGGTATTGCTGGGTCCAGGGGTAGGTTGATCCTGAATTTCCTGAGAAACCTCCACACTAATTTTTTTTTTTTTAATATTGATTTTATTGAACTATACATTTTTCTCTGCTCCCCTCCCTTCCTCTCTCCCATGGTCCCCATGCTCGCAATTTACTCAGGAGATCTTGTCTTTTTCTACTTCCCATGTAGATTAGATCCATGAATGTCTCTCTTAGGGTCCTCATTGTTGTCTAGGTTCTCTGGGATCATAATGACATCTTGAAATTTGCAGGCAAATGGATGGATCTAGAAAACACCATATTGAGTGAGGTAACACAGACCCAGAAAGACAATTATCATATGTACTCGCTCATAAGGGGTTTTTATATTTTTTAAAGGTTTCTTTATTATGTATACAATGTTCTGCCTGCATGTATGCCTGCAGGCCAGAAGAGGGCACCAGATCTCATTACAGATGGTTGTGAGCCACCATGTGGTTGCTGGGAATTGAACTCATGACCTTTGGAAGAGCAGGCAGTGCTCTTAACCTCTGAGCCATCTCTCCAGTCCCCATAAGTGGTTTTTAAACATAAAGCAAATAAAACCAGCCTACAAATCACAATTCTAGAAAATCTGTCGGTATTCTTAAACACACATGTGGATATTTATGTGTTTGCCTATTCCTAACTCTACATTAGAACAATTTATAAAAGACTGCATCAATTATTTTTATATCCAGATTTCTTCTCACATCAGATCTTTCCTAGATTATTGGTTTTAGTTTAAAAACAAACGAGGAAGATATTATTTGCATGTATTTCCTTTGGGTGACATAAATTCAGTTTCAGCTAAAGAACGTACAGAGCTCAGGTTGCAGGTAATACTTGCTAGGCAATAATACTTGCTGCATGCAAAAGAAGGTGGTTGTTTCACCTGAAGAGAGGCTCAAAAGGTCAGCGAAGTCATTGACCTTTGAAGGTCTGTGAGAAGGGGTAAACCCTGGTCAGAACTGCTGAAGCACAAAGTGAGAGAAACAAGACTCAAGGCCAGGCCTGGTGGTGCTGACCTATGATCCTAAGGTTTGGAAAACTGAGGAAGGAGGATCCGAGTTTGAGGTAAGACTGGGCGACATGAAACCAGTCTCAAAATCAGAATAAGAAAGAAGACCCCAAGTCTCTCAAAGCACTGAGGTTCACACTCATCTCTGGGGCATTTCACTTCCACAGAGTGAAGGTAGTACGTCCCTTCGTGGTTACTTTCTCCATCGTAAGTATTGTATGCTCCTTCTCCCCAGGAACAAATACAGAAGTGTCTTATGGGTCTAAGGAAAGAGAGAGAGGAGATTCAAGAAATCCAATCAAGGGAAAACAAAAGGATACAGGTTCTCCTGGTAGGTCTCCACCCTCCCCCGCCCTGTCCCTTCCTGCAGAGTCTGAGGCCACTGAGCAGAGAGACCTGGAGATGTTTTGAGTTTGAATTCTGACCCAGACATTAACTCTTCCGTCCTGAGCAGCTCTAATTTTAGCTTGCTCACCTGTGAAATGGAGATTAGGATTCTTCTTCTGGACTGACCTGCAGGGATTAGTGTCATCCCGCCTCCAGCAGTTTAGTGGTGTGTACTCAGTGTGTGCTTCCTGCACAGAGAGAGGCCAGGCATCCCTGGCGTCTCTGAGACCCTTTTAGAAACCACAGTAATGACAATGAGGCAATGCTGGGCCTAATGAGAAGTGGGGTGTCAGGCAGGAAGAACACCAGCTGCAGCTCCGCGTTAGTATGGGGTGGAGGAACAGGCGGGAGTGGGGGTCTGGGGGAGTGGGTATGATGTGAAAGGAGAGGAAGGGAGGGAGATGAGGGGCTGCTGTGGGAGAGGGGAATGGGGAAGAGGAGGAGATTCTGATGTGGGAGACATAAGTGTCCTCTCATCTTTCCTTCTCAGACTCAGGTGGCCACCAAGAGACAGCAGGTGATTTCTCAGTTTGCACATCTGAGTCGGGTCCTAGAGGAACAACAGAGTGTCCTTTTAGCCCAGCTGGAGAGGTTGGATGGGGATATCCTGAAGCAACAGGAAGAGTTTGATTCCCTGGCCACAGGGGAGATCTGCCGGTTCAGCACCCTGATTGAGGAGCTGGAGGAGAAGAACAAGCGGCCAGCGAGGGGCCTCCTGACAGTGAGATGGGCCTGCCCTCCCCCCTGGGGTCTCTGGAATCATGGCCTGATTGGTACCTCCTCTACATACATGTCTCTGCGTCCCAGACGGGATGTGTGACACGGCCAGGGGGCTGAATTATAGTACACGCTTCCCTAAGAAATCCCCAGTCACGGTGCTCTCTGGCCTTGGTCTCCTTTCTTGTTATCAATAAAACGGGAAGGAATGAGGCCCCAATGGTAAAATGAGGTAGAAGTTCCTCTTGAAAACTACAAAGCACTGTGCAAACAACTGCTTTCCAAAGCAATTTTTTTTTTCATAACTTGAATGTCCCCTCCACTGGCCAGGAAGTTTTTCCTGAGCTGCGTTCCTTGAAATGGAGGAGAGTTATGGGGATTGCAGCGACATGATTCAAGGGGATGCACTGGATGCTGGGAACTGAGGGACCTTGGTGTGGGACTTGCTTGCTTTTGCCTACAGCTAGAAGTGGGTCTTGGTCTTATCACCAACTCTGACCATGGAGCGAAGGAGTCAGGTGCTGGTTTCTGGTCCCCATGGATTTGTCCAAGGCTAGGAATATGGATTTTTTTTTTGTGGATATAACAAACGTAGAAGAGAAAAGCCAGAAACTGAATCTCTCTCTCTCTCTCTCTCTCTCTCTCTCTCTCTCTCTCTCTCTCTCTCTCTCTCTCTCTCTCTCTCTCCCTCTCTTTCTCCCTCGCACTCTCTCCCCCCCTTCCTCCTTCCCTCCCAGGATATCAGGAGCACTCTAATAAGGTTGGTGATTCAATGCCTATTTCTTTTTTCACATGCATAGCCACCCATGCTCCACCCACCTAGTTATTGCCACGCGCATTAATTATGCTCTCACATGAAGGGTGCACAGCCATGTAAATCTACACATGCGTTCTCTCATGTTATGTGTTCTCTCTACTGCTGTAGATCCACCCACTCGGGTAGCAGTGGGGTTCATCTGAGAGACTGGGAAGCTGCTGCTCCAGGCCTTGTTAGAAGAAGATGGCAGCCTGGAGACATCATTAAAAAAAAAAACAACAATGCTAGGGACTAGAGAGATGGCTCGGTGGCTAAGAGCAGCTAAGTGCTGCTCTTGCAAAGATCCTGGACTCAGAGCCCATAGAACAGTTCACACCCATCTCTAGTTCCAGGGGCTCCCATGCCCTCTTCTGGTCTCCATGGACGCTGCATGCATGCGTCGCACATACATACACATGCAGGCAAAATACCCACACACGTAAAATTAAGTATTTTTTAAAAAGAATAATTCCCAGACTCTGCCGCTTCTGTGCCCCTAGATGTGAAACTAGAAAGTGCCGGAAACCCGAGGCTATCTCCCCAGAGCTGGGCCAGAGGATCCGGGACTTCTCCCAACAGGCCATCCCTCTGCAGCAGGAGATGAAGACGTTCCTGGGTAAGGAGACCCTAGGCCTCAGTAGAGTGCTGCTGTGCACACAGCCTGGGTTGGGGAATGGCTTCCTGAGTCCACTGCCAAAAGGCTGTGAATTTTAGCATGGCTTATCTCCTTTAGTACTTTACCTTTCTTATTTGCCAAGGCCCATAAAAAAAAATCTATCAACTTTCAGGGTTATGTGCCAGTGAAGAGAAATAATAGGTGAAGATTTGGGGGTTGGGATGAACCTGTTAAACAAATCTGACCGTGGACACGCAGCAGTAGGAGAGATAACGATTAACAGCCCCCCCCCCCCACTCTTCATCATCAGAAGTCCTCAGTGGTGCGTGCAATGCATGGTGCTTTGACGTCCAACTGTGCGAATCAGTGACAGCATTTGCCTAACGGCAGGAGCTGACTCCCCTCCTCTTGTGCTTTCCTTCCGCTGGTTTTGTTTTTCCGCTACTGAAAGTTGAACCCAGGGCCTGTGGATGTAGACAAGTGTTCTAGCCACTGACCTACATCCCCAGACCTTCCCCCACTTCTTTTTATTGGTCTGGCTGACTAAGCTGAGCCACCTTATAGGAACCGAGCCCCATTCCTTTCCCGGAAGGAGTTGTAATGGCAGCCAGCCAGCAAAGTTAGAAATGGGAGTTGTGGCTTTCTGTTCCTCATGAACTGTGACATCATGAACAATGCCACCTATTTCTAAATGTCACATCCACAAAAACATGTCCCTAGGAGGACATTCCTGAAAGTCTGCTTCCTGCAAGGACTAGAGGAAATCTTACTCTAATCAAAGGCTGACTTCTGGCCAGCCCAAACATTATTTCCAAGTAGAAGAAAACAAAGTGAACCCATTGATCTTTTCCTTCTGTAGATGTCTGTGAAGACAGAGAGGTAGGCAAGGCAGACACAGCCCTGTCTGCTCAGGGGTAGGGTAGCAGGCTTCTCGCTGGCCCTGCAGGCCAGGAGCATCAGTAATCCCTGAGAATTTGTGAGAATGCATATCTGCAGGTCTGTCCCAGAGTGTCTGGATTTGAAATGAGAGTAAGTACTCTAAGAGGTTTAGAGAATTCCAACTTCCATCCTTCTCTCTGCTCCTTCCCTTTCCCGACCCTCCATTTCCTCATCTCTGAGTGTTCTGCAGCTGTGAGATTAATGAAATCTCATCTTGTCATTATTTCCTCCTTACAGAAAAACTCTGCTTTGAGTTGGACTATGAGCCAGGTAAGCAGCTTCTGGGTCCTGCACTGTGCATTGAAATTCTTACATAGACATTCTCACACACACACACACACACACACTCTCTCTCTCTCTCTCTCTCTCTCTCTCTCTCTCTCTCTCTCACACACACACACACACACACACTATACATACATCACACACACACATACAATGACTTGTATATGTAAGCACACATACACAGAGCATACATCCACACCCATGTCCACAGATTCCACATTCAGCCCCAGACAGAAAAACACTGCTTTGTAATAAATGTGGTGAGATTTCCCCTTTCCATTACTCCTTAAATAATTTAGTATAACAACTATTGCCATAGCATTTACATTGTGTTATGTAACATGAGCAGCCTGGAGATGATTTGAGGTATTTGGGAGGGTGTGTGTAGTTTACATGTAAATACTACACCATTCTACATAAAGCACTCGAGCTTTTGTGAAGTTTAGTATACAAATGAATGAGGTATGGCTGTATGAGGTCCCTAGGAGGGCCATGAAGTGAGGACAGGCACATACACATTCCTGGTAAATCCGGTCTCCAGATTGGAACATGTCCAGTGGGCAGAATGATTAGATAAAAATTAGATAAAAAATGAGTATGGTCTGTCAGGGATGCGCTTTCTGGATGAGGGCAACTTTTGACTGGGTAGAGTCACAATCTCAGAATTGTCAGAAACCTTCACTCTCTCTCAGTTTCTAAATTAGAGAAACAGAGCAGCTTGCAAGAGAGACAGGAATGAACAGAAAGAACCCCTTTAATCTATCAGTTCCCCCACCAGCCGGCCAAACACCCAGGAGAGTTGTGGAACCGTTGGGAGGCACTCTCTAATCCATAGCTAAGTCTGCATGGATAGGTTTTCTCCATTTAGGATTTTTGTTTGTTTGTTTTTGAGACAGGCTCTTAGTATGTAGCTTTGGCTGTCCTGGCACTCACTGTATAGACCAGGCTAGTCTTGAACTCACAGAGATCCATCTGTCTCTGCCTCCCAAGTGCTGGGATTAAAAGTATGCACCACCATCCCCCAAATTCTTCAGTTTAGAAATATTCAACATAGCTATATATAGGGAAGAACTGGGGGCTCCAAAAAAAAATTGGCAGCCAGAGTCCAACAGTCGAGAATGATTGAAAGAGAGTGCATAGCCTCAGGGTGAAGAGGAAGAAAGGCTGGACAAATGAGTCATGGCATCCTCAGCCAAAGCAGAGAAGAAACTCCAGGGTGGAATCGAAAGGAGGAAAATGTCTGCTTCTGAGAAGCTAAAGGAGGGGCTGGGCATGGAGACTGTGAGGAAGGCTGTTGAGAGGGGAGGCTGAGTATGAAGGTAGCCACGTGAGAGGAGACTCGAGGAAGATGTATGTGAGGGTGGTCTGTATAAGAGGCTGTTTATAAAGCAGGCTGCGTGTAAAAATGATTGTGTGGGGGCGCGTTTATTAGTGAGGAGGCTGTACGTGAGAGAGCTTGTGTTTGGGGTGGCTGTGTGTGAAGGTAGCCATATCTGAAGTGGGCTGTGTGAAAGGTTGTGGTGGAGAGGCTGTGGGTAAGGAGGCTGCTCGGGAGGGGAAGGCTGTGCATAGGAGTTGCTGTGTGTGATGGTGGACACGTGTGGGGGCTGTGTAAGGGAGTCTGTGTATGAGAGTCTGTGCACGGTGGGTGCTGGATGCAAGGGATGCTTATTTAAAGGGATGCTGTGTGTGAGAGAGGCTGTGTGTGAGGGGAGAGGCTGTGTGTGAGGGTGCTTGTGTAAGGGGTACTGTGGGTGTGAGGTGTGTGTGTATGAGTGTGTGTGTGAGTGCATGTGTGTGTGTGCATGTGTGCAAGAGTGTCAGTGTGTAAAGAAGCTGCCAAATGGCTGTGTATAAGGTACCTGTGTGTAAGAGTGCCTTGCGTGTGGAGGAAACCGTGTTCAGAGGTAGTTGTATGAGGAAGGCTGTGTACAAGAGAGCCTGTGTGGGAGGGTGACTGCGTAGGAGGCTATCCTGAGGGCTGTACACGAGGAGGGCTGTTTGTGAGGGCATCCACGTATGAGAGGGGTGTAAAGAAATGCTGTGTTTGTGGGTGGCACGCGTGAAGTGTGTAACATGTGAGGGGACGCTGTGTGTAGAAGCTGCGGGAGGCTGGCCTCGGGCGTGCGAGGGAAGCAGTGTGTGAGAGAGGATGCGTGTGAGGCTGCCTGTGTGAGGGAAGAATGTGTTGGAGGGGAGGCTGACTACGAGGCTGTGAGAGCGGTGTGTGGGACGGTGGCTCTGTGGAAGGGAGGATGTGCATGCAGATGTATGATTGGCTGTGTGTGTAAGGCCATACGAGGCTGGTTGTACGTGAGGGGGACTGTGAGCTGAGAGCGAGAAAGGGCGAGAGTGTTTGTGAAGAGGATATGTGTAAAAACGCCTGTGTGTCAGTATCAGCGTGCTCCTGTACAAAGAAGTTGTATGTACCTAAGGGAAACGATGGAGCTGGGAGGTCGTGTGTAAGGTGAGTGTGAGGGGGCTGTGCATGAGGACGCAGGTTGTGAGGGTGCCCACGTGTGAGGCAGGGTGCGTATTAGGGAGTCCCCTGTTTTCAACAACATGAGTCGTATAGCTTTCTAGAGGACGGCAGACAAGCGAGGGCAGCGTGCTGTTTGCGACTGATTTTCCCAGCTTTAACGTGTACATGCATTCCCTTGGCATTTTTTAGGATGCAGACTTTTAGGTCTCACCTGTTTCTTGGTGATGCCCATGCTCCGGTACACATGGGTGGTTTAACACAAGCAGCCAGGGATGGAAGTAAGTGTGGAAGGACGCATAAAAGAAATCCCACACTAGCTCAGGATTGAGAAATAGATGGTTATTTATTTAGGGGTAAAATCACAAATCAGAATCCTCTGCTGGAATGGAGAACAGAAACTAAATCCAGCAACCAGAACAAGCAGCTGGAAAAGAGGCCGGACACACAAGCTCTACAACAGCATATATAGTACAAGAGGCCACGCCCCAGTGGGCGGGAAGCCGCTGGCTGTAAGACTACCTACAGCAAATAAGCTTTCAGGCCATCCTAACAAGACACAGCACATCCTCTGCCATACCCATTCCTTGTTTCATTCCACAGCCCACATTGCCCTAGACCCCCAGACTTCCCACCCCAAGCTCCTCCTGTCTGAAGATCACCGGAGGGCTCGGTTCTCCTACAAATGGCAGAATTCACCAGATACTCCGCAGCGTTTTGACAGAGTCACCTGTGTCCTGGCCCAACGTGGCTTTACGGGAGGGAGACACACTTGGGTGGTGAACGTTGACTTGGTCCACGGAGGCAGCTGCACGGTAGGCGTGGTGAGAGAGGACATCCGACGGAAAGGAGAGCTGCGGCTGAGACCGGAGGAAGGCGTCTGGGCCGTGAGACTGGCTTGGGGATTTGTCTCAGCGCTGGGTTCCTTCCCCACAAGGCTGGCCCTGGACGAGCAGCCCCGAAAGGTGCAGGTGTGTCTTGACTACGAGGTAGGCTGGGTGACCTTTGTCAACGCTGTCACCCAGGAGCACATCTATACCTTCACTGCCTCCTTCACACGGGAGATCTTTCCCTTGTTCGGACTCTGGGGCAGAGGCTCGAGTTTTTCCCTGAGCTGCCGAGAAGGTGCAGTGTCCCTCCTCTGAGTACAAGCCTGAAGTCAAGCATCCTGGGGAGTTGACCCTTGCCTGGACGACCAGGCACAAAAATGGCTTTTTAAAACAATTGCTAGGGCATATGTCCGCAAGGGACAAGATGGTAGGACCTTTAGTCCGATCATTGTTCAAGCCTTCCCCAGCGCCCATCAGATAGGTGGTCAGGGCATCTGCGACCTTGGCTGCCGCTGGCTGTACCCACCATTGTCGTCAATGGGCACAGACATAGTTGTACAAACAGTGCTGGGTTGTAAACCTAAAGACCCGGGTTCCAGACAAAGTCCTATAATCAACCAACCGCGTGATTTCAAGCAAAACACTCTACTCCTCATTTGCTTTCTTCTAAAAATATTAGTTAATTTATTCATGTCTTCAAGAAACATTTTGGAGGAGTGGATATGATAAAAAAACACTGTATACATGAATGAAATACCGAAAGAATAAATAAAAATATTATTTGAAAAAGAAGTGTTTTCTCCTACCATCGCGCACCACAACCTGACGTGACTTCTCACTACGTCCTCTCTCACGATTCTCAGGACCAGGGTGTGCCTTCGCTTCCTCCACCTCCACGGCAACTGGCATCAGCCAGTGGGCCGAGCTGCTGAGCCTGCAGGAGGCAGATGGTGACTCCAGCACCAAGTGGAGGGGGATGAACTGGGCAAAGAGCTGATGTCCACCCACCTAGGCCCAGCACATCTCGTGGGATGGCCTTGACCCGGGAAACCCTATCTACACCTTGGTCCTTACAGACCCAGGCAGTCCCAGCAGGAAGGACCCCTGATACAGGAGTGGCACCATTTCCCAGTGGCCAACATGAAAGGCAATGGCATCGGCAGTAGCATGGTCATTTTGGACTATGCGGGCTCTGGGCCTGCCAGTGACACTGACCTCCGCTGCTACATCTGGTTGGTGTAACAAGAGTGACAAACCCATCTTCAGCAACAGGTCTGAAGGTGACAGTTTTCCACAAGAAAGACCACATGGGAGCCTCTGTGGCTTCCACATTTTATAAGCAGAATGGAATGACTAGGTTTGCAAGATGTACTAGGAGCTGACTGGGAAGTAGGGGTGCTATGGGGGCCAGTGGTCCTGGAGACCCCTCACAATATTGTCACCATTGTGCAAAACAAAATGCTACTTTTCATCCTCCTTTCCTACCTCCTCATGGGGAGGGCAGAGGACGAGTGTCATCTATAACCGGTGAGTCCAGAACCAGGCACAGTGCATTTTTGGAGATGTGTTTTTAGGGTCTTGTCTTCCCCCAGTGAGACAAGTGTGAGCAACATTCACTGGGGTTGCTGGGTGTGTTAACCCTGTCTGTTCAATGTCAAATAAAAATAAAATAAAAAAACCATTAGATCCAACTTAGAAAAAAGGACTTTCAGAATCAAGTGATTCCTGACAAGAAAAAAAGAGCAAAACTGTCTTGTCTTAGTAGTTACCTTTCTACTGCAGTGATAAGACTCAATGAGCAAGGCAGCCTACTGAGAAAGAGCTTATTTGGGGCCAACAGTTTCAGAGGCTATGGCCATTATGGTAGAGGGCATGGAACAGGCAGACAGGCATGGTGCCGGAGCAGTAGCTGAGAGGTTATATTCTGATCCACAACTATGAGATGAAGAGAGATAACTGGGAACGGTTTGGGCTTTAAAACCTCAAAGCCCACCCTCAGTGACACACCTCCTCCAACAAGGCCACGCCTCCTAATCCTTACCAAACAGTTCTACTAGCTAGTGGACAGTTCTTACTTTAACGTCTGGAGTTTGGTCATTGTTTAAATTGTTTAAATTGGGACCTTGTTTGCTTTTATTTGTCCCACAATGGCTAGCTAGTTGGTTCTGTAATAAAATGTGGAACCTTTCAAAAAGAGAGAGAAAAAAAACAACATTCTTTTTTGTATACTACCCATGAACAAATCATGGTAACTGTTGGTAATTGGAAAGGAAGATGAAGGAGCCCTGGGAAGACGTAAAGTAAAGACAAAATCTCTTTGTGGTGACTGTTGTGATAGGAATCTCCCTAGGCATTATGGATGTTCAGAGGATGGAATGCTGCCGTGTCTTCGGGGAGAATATGACACCAGGATGGTTTTTTAGAAGATACACTTGTTGAGAGAAAAGGAGGGAGAAGAGGGAATGGAGCTGACCTGGACTTTGACCTCTCTCAGGCACTGGGTTCATCTCCACGTCCTTGTGGATAGACAAGCACCATCTTCACCCAATTCCACCCACTGCCTTCTGGTGGTGTCAGTTCAAGGTGAGGTGAAGGTCAGTCAGGGGGACAGGGGCTTGTTGGAAGGCATTGCTGGTTGGTCAGAGGTCACAGCCTCCTCCTAGTCTAGCAGTTTATCTCAATAACTCGGTCTCCTGCCCTCCAGCAGAACTTCCTGCTTCTACCTGCTGTCATTGCTGGGCCTGGAGGACTGATCTTATCTAAAAACTGTCTCTAAAACCGGATGCCTGATTCCTCTTTAGCTTGACCCTTGGCACAGATCCATGGTCTAGGAGCTCTGCTATAGGACCCTACTGCCACAAGCTAGGCCTTGTGATAGGAGTGTGCCACTTAATACAAATTAGGGTTTGTCCCCAGGCTCCCCATTATTATTCCTTATACTCTGGAATAAAATTGAGCCAATTCACTGAAATCTCTCTCCTGGAAGGCTGTCTCCATTCGTGCTCACGGACCAAGTACAAAGCTTTGTGTCACCCATTCTACCTCTTTCCCCTCTCCATCTCGTGACCAACAGGCTGAGAGGGAACGAGGACCCCTCGGTGGTTATGATCATAAACCATAATCCAAGGACTAAGTTCACCCCCTGGGGAAGCTGTCTTCCCTAATCAGTTGACTACCGGCTAGAATTGAGAAGGAGATGGTAGAGAATTAGTCACAAACAGCTCAGTTGGTGGAACAGAAGCAGCAACATCTGCACTCTAGTGCTGGGGTAGGAGGATCCAAGGAGGATGCTGGGGAGGATTCGGGTGCCCTGTCACCTTTAGACTAACAAGCTGAAATATATTAGAACCGGACAAAAGGTGACTTCTGTGGAATGAGGCAGGACAGGGCAAGACTGGGGATTAAAGAAGAACCCGTCTGAAGTGGAGAATTCTGTGGGATACAGGAAGCTGCATAGAGGTGGGATGTTGTGGTCATGTGGGGTCTGGAGAACTCCAGAACTGTCCCTCCTTGGAAATGATTTGGGGGCCAGGGTGGCAACCAGCAATGGGTGCCTACAACCTGGAGAATTATATCCACCATCTCAAAGTGGTATTTTAAAATTTACCCATCATAAAACCCTTTTCCTAGTTTTACAGAATGGCTATGATGAATTTTCTAGTCCTTATTGGCTCTACACTTCATTCCACCCAAGCCTGCCCTTTGGCGACAGCCGATTTAACATTCTTGCTGTTTACCCGACTCAGCCATGAACTGCATCTGTGACGGGGAAAAACCAGCCATGGTGCAGCTCTAAGGGAGAGGCCACCAGGCACTGTGCGCCCAGGCTTGGAATCGCCTTCAGATGCCAGCATCCATCCTCCACCCAGCAGACAGAAAAGACCCCGCAGTTAGGGGCTAGAGATCAGAGAGTACTGAGTGAGTTTCTCCAGGATGTTCAATATGCACTATAAAATATATGTTTGAAAAATAAGGGCATGTGCAGGTGTGTATATAATGCTAAGCATACCCACAGACCCTAAGCCTCACGTTCCACTGAGAAATGCACTATATGTTTCGGCTTCTTTGTACTAGTTTTACTTGAGTATTTAAAGTGACCATGAACCTCTAAGGGATACGAAGTCCCTCCCTGCTCTAAGGCATCATGACCCTTATGGTACTTATTTTGGTAACTCTGTGAGATATATTCTATTATTATTATCCTTTTTCTTTTCTCTTTTTTGTATGTGTGTTTTGTATATGTGTACGCATGGCTGTATGTGTGGGTACACATGTATATGGAAAAGTACACATATGTGTGGGCCCTGAGGCCGATGTCAGATGTCTTTCTTAATCACTCTCTACTTTTCTTATTTGGTAGGGTCTCTTGCTGAACTCAGAGCTCACCGGTTCTGGTTAGTCTAGCTATCTAGTTGATTTGGGGGTTCTGACTTTTCCCTGTGAGAGCTCAGGTCATAGGCAGCTACTCAGCTTTTACATGTGTTCTGGGGCTCCGAACTCCAGTCTCTGTGCTTACACAGCGACTGTTTTATTTACCGAGCCATCTCGCTGGTCCGCACAGAGGAGGCAGCTGTGCGTGGTAGTGTCTGTAAGTCTCGGTAGGTAGAAGCAGGAAGATCAGGAATTCGAGGTCAGCCTCTGCCTCACAGTAAGACAGCAAATTTGATGCTAGCCTGACCAGCACTAATCCCTGATGAGGGGAGAGGAAAGAAAAGGCGTGGGGTGGGGCTGGGGCGAGTGAATGAGAAGGAAGAGGAGGGGAGAGCTGAGGCCTGGTGAAATTTGATTATTTGCTCATCCAATATCATACAGCCAGGACTTTACAGTCCATGTCTGGCTTCTCATCTCTTAAACACCTTTCCAGACAGTTTCGTTTGGAAACTGGTGGTCGTGTGGCCCTGGGGAGGATTTTGATGCCGACTATGCTCACTACAACTGACAGCCATTCTGAAAGATAAACCTTCAAGAGAGTGGATATACTCCTTTTAACCCATCAGCTTCCGCTCCTCCCCAGGGCACCTTGAAGCTTCCTCCCTGTTAAAGGAGGTAGACTGGATGACCTCCCAGTGAGGTGACCAGTGAACCTCCAGGCTGTTCTTGTTAGAGTCAGACTCCACTTGCTTTCCCCAGAAGAGCTGCAATCTGTGTAAAAGCTCCAGGCTCCCGATTCCTCTCTACCAGACCCTAGAGTAGCTTCACACACTTTACCTGACAGGCACAGGTTTAACTCCTGACTTTCCACACTTACGCTGAAAAAGCTTTCTATTGCAAAGAAGAGAGACCCATCCCTGTTCGTTTAAATAGGAAAGTTTATTATAAAAAACAGATACAGAAATAAAGGGGGAAAAAGAATTTTTCTACCATTTTTCAGGCCTTCTGGAAACTACGGCAGGGTAAGAAGTTGGGGCACTACCTGTTCCCAGAAGAAGAATTTACTTCCAGCTTTGCTTACAGTGTTAGTAGAATTCATTTTCTTGCGACTGAAAGACCCAGGCCCCCTGATTCCTGTCAGCTGGACTATTAGGCTGTTCTGGGAACCTAGGAGCTGCCCACATGTCTTTCCCCTCAGGGCCACTAACTCTCAAAGAGTCTCTAGAATGCATCAGTTGGCAAGAGTCCAGGGGAAGGAGATATGGTCACTCCAGTACTTTTGTCACCTCTGCTGTATTCCTTTGATGAGAAGCAAGTCACAGACGCCACTCACACGCGGGACAAAGTTACACGTGTACAGGACCATGAGGGTGAGGACTATAGACATCACCCTTGCGACTGTTTGCAGCAGTCGTAATGAGCAAACTATGCAGACAGTACAGACAGGAGGTTCTATCCAGTCAGAAGAAATATCACTCCAATAAACCTGTCAACCTCTGTACGCTGAGGTGGCCTCACTCTGATGACCCGTGCCGTCCGGACGCTTGGATGCTCACAGGAGACCAAGGGCAGCAGGTGCTCCAGCAGTTCACAGGTAACATGGAGGCTGCACAAATGGCCCTGGACGTGCTGGAGATCTGAAATGCCTGGCCACAAGGAGCCACAGCTCAAGCCTGGCTTAGGAAGGAGACTGTGTCCGAGCGTCAGAGGCTAAGGCATCAGGAGAGAACACACCAGGAGCACTAACTGAGGTTTGGACCAGCTGGAGGAAGATGAGAGAGGAGTCCTTCTAGTTTCTGGGGCGCACTCCTAAAAACAAAGAAATCATTCACACATTCACATATATTCTACTGGAGCTTCCGCTGCCTGTGTCCTATGAAGGTACCAAGTACGTGTCCTTGACTTTAATTTAGCCCATATGCACATCTATGCCATGTGGATCTGCATGTGTCTTCAAGTGTGGGGCGGAGGGAGAGGGTGTCATACCTGTCCAGTAAGTCACTGGCATCCTGGGAGAGAAAAGGTGACAATCACAGTTAGTTACTGTGTTCTTGCCACTGAATGCCCATCCTAGCTCACGCTTGAAGGTCAGTCGGCATGCCACCACAAAAGCTGGCGGGCATAACCCCTTTCTTCTGCTCCTCATTCTGTGGTATCATGGTGTGGCCCTTAGAAGCCACTCTCAACACACACAAACACCCCCCCCCCCAAT